CCTTAAATGGCTTTTAGTCTATATATTATTAAAATCACCCTTCAAGAAAGCCTCACTTCTTTCAGCAACTCTGTCTCCACTACATCCACTTAATCCCTATGCCCTCCAGGCAGCCACTCTTTGTAAGAGGCATGCTTCAACTACCCACTTGCTGGGCACAATCTTATTTCTGGCTATGGACCAATGAGCTATCAGCAGCTCATTCTCTTACCTTACTCTGCCTTATTCCTGTAGAACTGATGCTTATTTAGATGTTAGTGCAGCTTGGCTTTAAGACCTTCCAGAAGGTCGATGGTTTTTTTGCTTGATTCAGATAGAAATCATGATTCAGCAAAGTGAAGCTCTGTTAGTGGCCCTGGGCTTTGGGTGCCAACAGCACTCAGCCCTTCTTTTTTTTTAATACGAGGGATCGAACTCGGGACCTTCCGCTTTCAAGGCAGACGGCGGAACTACTGAGCTAAATCCCCAGCCCTCTCAGCCCTTCTTATTAAAGCTCTGGGCCCTGATGCCACTGGCTGACACTAGTTCGTGAGAAACATCCTTGGTCAACACTGCCAGTTGCTGATCTCTGCACTGCTGACTGTCACCAGCTGATGCCAGTTTGTGCTAGATACTGTCAGTTGACTCCACCAGTTGAGTTGCTATTCTGTCACTGATCACCATTGGCTGCTGGTCTCTGGAACTCTGTAGGGTTTATAGTGTTTTATTTTAAAGTGACCACTCTGTCCACATAGACAGAAATCTTGAGTAGATTTATAGACCCTCCCAAGACCATACTAAGAAGTAAATCATGAGCAGATTTACAGGACCACTCAAGTGAGGCTTTATTTGAACAGGACCTATGCTGCAGCACAGAGGGCTCAGCATACCAGACAGCACTCCTAGACCAACTCCAAAAATGTGAGGGAATTCTGCCAGCCTGTGATTGGTCCAAATTTGAGCCTGCTAATTGATCCAAACTGGTCTAAACTCAAGTCTTCAGACCCAAACCTACTGATTGGCCCAAATTCAATTCTGCTTAGTTTAAATTTGAGCCTGCTGCAGTCAGAGCAGATATCCTCCAAAGGAGGTAGGAGGTATCTAGGACAGCCACAGCTGTCATAGTGATGGTTTTGAGGGAATAGGAAGATACAGGCTGTTTGACAGTGGTTATGTCTCCAAGAAAAATGATGGGGAATCTTCAGGAGGGCCAGCTGTGCTAATCATAGCTTTTGGGAGTTTAGGGGAAGTTGGGGATGTTAATAATAAGCTCAGATTCCTCCTTGATCACTGCCATGTTAGGGGTGGTTTACCCACCTCTTCTCCAATGAGGCAGCAGAGTCTGGAATGGCCAGAATTAGGGAGGCACACCATGACAGCTGACTGCACTTCCTGTCAGGATAGCCAGAGAATAGCAGGAAGTAACCTGAGAAGTGATAGGGGGACAGAGGCAAGCCATCCCAGTCCTTCCTCAGGGAGGGAGGGAATTGAGGGGGAGGGTTTGGCTCTTGGCCAAACCACACCCCCATCTGCCTGTCACAGAAAAGAAGGGGCGGGTCAGGTGCTTCTCATCTGTCTCATGTCTTTGGCATTTTCTCCTTAAATGAGAACCTGATAGTGAAAAATGAAATTTACAGTATTTCTCAATGTCTTCTACCATTTTTCCCACTTAGTTTTAGCTAAGAGTCATTTCCTTCTTCAACTTTTGGAGGAAAAGCTTCTTGTTTTACAGACAAAGCCGATGTGGAGGGTGTGACTTGTCATGTTCACATGGGGCAAGATCACAGAGTCAGGCCTCCTGTTTCTGATGTAGTATTTTCCCATTTTCACATGTATTTTAGTCAAGCAAGTTTACTTGTTTGTCTTCCTCTTCACCTCTCCTCCTCTAATTCAGTGATAAAAAAATTATAAGTAAACTAAAAGAATGGCCACATAGTATGTTAGTCCACCTTCTATCACAATAACAAATACCTGTGATAATCGATGTGAGAAGAGAAAAGGTCACTTTGGCTCACCGTTGTGGGGTTTCAACCTGTGATCAAGTCTACTCATTATTTTTAGGCCTCTGGTAGTGGTGGTGGGGTGGTGGAGAGCTCATCTTTGTAGAAGTAGGTGGCATAGAAAAACCTCTTACCTCATGGCCAGGACATAAAAGAGCAAGAGGAAGGTGCTGAGATCCCATCATCTTCTTTGAGAACACAACTCCAATAACTCAAGACCTCCCATTAGGCCCCACCTCTTCAAGTCTCCACCACTTCCCAACAGCACCAAGGTGGGGACTGAGCTCTGGGGGAACATCCCAGATCCAAACCAGGGCACACAAGAACTAGGTCTGTGAGAAAAGACAAAGGAGCAGAAGGCTGATTGATGGAGGGTTTGTGTTCTCATCTCCTGATGCTTCATTGATGCCATCTTTGCTACAGCATTCATCACACAAAATGCTTCATGCTTGGAGCATGCCTCCTCTGCAGAATATTTTCTATTCAGTTCTGACAACCTCCCTTGGAGGCAAGTAGATAGGCAGCTATTATCTTTAGAGCTAAACAAAGAGTTTTAAGGGCCAAAATTATATTAATATTAGAAACAAAGGTAACTTTCTTTTCTCTTACCTCACTTAGCACCTGTGTGTTGTCCATTCTAGCCCCTTGATATCTCTTTCGTATCTGCACAATCTCCATTCACTGACTTGGCTCAGGCTCTTTTCAGTGCTTGCCTGAATTATTTCAAGTCTTCTACCTTTCTTTCTTCTGATTTTTCCTCCACATTGGTTCCAGAAGATCTCTCTAAATCTAAATCGAATTTGCTTCCCCTTTCTGAAAATTCACTCATTTTATCCATGTGCATCGAGTTCTTTGGCATGACTTACTAAGCCCTCCAAGCTCTCCCCCTCGCCTACCTCTTTAGTCTCATTTCCTGCCATTCTGCCCTTCACACTCTGTGCTCCATCCTCACAGACCTGTTGTTTCCCACACACAGCACACTGTTCTGTATCTGTAACTCTGCATGTGTAGTTATCTCTGCCAGGGATCCCACCCTCCTTTTACCTAACTGGAAGGCTATATTCTTTTCTTTTTCCCCCCGTTAACTTTATTGGTACATTTTAGGTATAAAATACAATTACATTCATCATTGGGATCTTGTACCATTACATGAGTCTCTTGGTTCTTATGTTTTTCCCCTTCCCTTGCCCTCCCTTCACCCCCTCCACCCTTCCCTATTTGCAAAGACCTTGTTTCCATTTTTTTCCTCTTCTCATATTTTTTTCCTTTCCCTTTTTTCCCTTCCCCTACCCCTCCCAATTCCCTTGCTCTTTTAGACCTTTTCTTCCTGTTACACAATATCAGTTACAGATTTTTTAAATTAAAATATTAAGATCTAGGAGACATTACCACAGATTTTACAGAATTTAAAAGGATATAGAAAGCATATTACAAAAATTTGTTTTGAAATAAATTTGTCAACTTCTAAGAAATAACTTGGAAGACAAATTAATGAAACTAACTCTGGAAGAAATATAAAATTTGAATAGCACCTGTTAAAGAAAGTATATTCCTAGCTTGAAAACCTGCCTATATGACAACAGCAGGCTCATAAACATTTTAACTGATAAATTATATCAAACATTTAAAGCAGAAAAAAGAAGGAACACTTCTCCCTTCATTTTAGGAAATCAACATTGTGCTAATCCTAAAACTGGATAAAGATAATGGAAGAAAAAAGTATGAACATAGATAGAAATTTGTTTAACAAAACAAACTATTGGAAGTCAGATCTGGAAGGATGTAGAAAGTGGTTTTGTTATACAGATGCCAGTGTTGGTTCAGCACTGGAAGATCCACCCCCAAAAGTCATCATTTTAACAGAGGAAAGGAGAAAGCCACATGATCCTGTCACTAGTTGGAGAAAAAGTATTGGACCAAATTCTACAGCTGTTCATGGTAAAAGCTATCAGGAGACTACAAGTAGAACAGAACTATCTCAACAGATAAGCCATGTACTCCATACTTCCAGCAAAAACTCAGAAGGCTATATTCTTTACACCCAAATGTGGACTCGGCTGACCATGCCTCTCCCCACTCCATTGTCTCTCTCTTACACTTTCATAGATCAAACATTTCCTATTCAATGCCACTTCCAAACCTCAGGTTGCTATCCTTGCGTTTACACTCCATAACGAATATGTATGTTTTCATATTGCACATGCCTTCCCCCAACCCATCCGTGAGTTTTTCTAGGGTAATGGCTTTGACTCACCTTTGAATCCTTATCACTCTAGGCCAGGCCTGGTACATAAAAGATATTAAATTTGCATGTATATGTTCATAAATTGAGATAAAATTCACCCCCCGCCTCTTTTTTGATACCGGGGATCAAACTTGGAACCTTGCACTTGCAAGGCAGGCAGCAGGACCACTGAGCAAAATCCCTAGCCCTAAAATTCACCCTTTTAAAGTACATCCAGTGGTTTTAGTATATTGACAAAGTTGTGCAGCCAGCACCACCATCTAACCCCAGAACATTTTATCAGCTCTGAAAGAAAGCATGTAATTGTGGGCAATTACTTCTGGTTGGTCATTTCCACCCCTTCTTGACTCTAGCTATCACTAATCTACTTTCTGGTTTTGTAAATTTGCCTATTTTGAACATTTAATATAAATGGAATCATATATTACGTTACTCTGGTATCTGGCTTCTTTCATTTAGTATAAAATTTTTTCAAGGTTTCATCCATGTTACAGCATTTATCGGTACCTCATCATTTTTGTGACTGTGTAATATTCCACTCATGGATATGGATGTATGACATTTCGCTTATCCACTCATCAGGTGATAGACATTTAAGTTGTTTCTATGTTTGGCTATTATGAATAGGCTGCTATGAACATTCATGTACAAGTTTTTGTGTGTCAATAAAATATTTGAGTCAATGAATAAATAATTGAATGGGCGATGACCTCTATTTCATCATGTGATCTTTGATCAAAATATGAATTATAATCTTCTTTACTGCTTTTGGGCAGGTCTAGGACAGATCGTTCAAGCTGAGGAATACCTCTCACAAGCCCAGTGGACAGTCCTCAAGTCAACTGACTGTAGCAATGCCACCTACTCTTTACTGCATCGGAATCTGGGACTTCTCTACATGGCTAAGGAAAACTATGAGGAAGCCCGTTATCATCTGGCCAATGATGTAAGCAAGCTAAGTTATAAAACACCTGGGAGTTTAGTTGTTTTGTTTTTTAAATGAACATTTCTCTGAAATTTCCTGTTTGCAACTGACCATTTGGTTGAAAAGCAGCAAGAGCACAATTTTTTTTCCAAGTTCTGCAAATCGAACTCAGGACCTTGCACTTGCAAGACAGGTGCACTGCCACTGGGCTACATTCCTGGCCCTAAATACACGATTTTTATGTCCTGATTTCCAACCTTTGCATTCCCTGACTATGCAGCCTTGGCCAGGTCGGTCACCCCTTCCCCCCAGCCTCAGTTGCTCTGAGGATAATGAGGAGAAACAGCTTCATACTGGTTAAGAGAAGGGCTTTGCTTCTAATCCAGGCTCTGTTGTTTCACCAGCTACATAATTTGAGCTAAATTATTTAACCTCTTTCAGAGACAAAATTAATAAAACAAAACTTCTCTGACACATCGGGTCATTGCAGAGATTAATAATAGAACAGTATATGTAGAGTACTTTGGCTACTTTTTAAAATAACATTCATATCTACTTCAGAGTGTGGTTATTAAATTTAAATGAACTAGATCTATAAGAGAGCACTTATAAACTCTGAAGCTCTATACAAATATTAGATAAGATGATGGGAGTAATAACTGAGCTGTTCTTTCAAAATTATGAGGTTCCTTTTAAGATTTTGGTATTGGAAAATATTACCAGAGAGAAATCTGGTTAGGTTGGATCAGATTATCTCCACATATATTAGCTGTTTCTTTAGCCTCTCTACTGGCCTCTCTGTGGACAACATTCCCTCTGCTTGCCTGCCACTGAACTTAGGGTTGTCCATAAATCCATTCTCATGATACTCGCATTGTCTATCTCCAAACCCCAAATTCATTCTCTTTCCTACTCTCTGACCTGGGAGACTGAACTTCATGGACTCTGTTGCTGTCTGGCTTTGGCTGGAGTTTGGAGAATGGAAGGCAGAGGAGAGAAGTAGTGGGTGAGGGAGAGAGAAGTTGGAGGATTTCTTCTTTCTGCCTCAGCCCAGTCTGGCAGGGACACTCACTGTTCCTCAGTGGCCCCAGCTCCTGTCAAGTGGCCTTCTTAGCTCTCGTTGGGGCCTGTCACCCCTACAGTCTCCCCTTGTTTTCTAAGGCTAGAAATAGTAATAGTTTCTTGCTGTTGGTTGTTCCTAGTGCTTCACTATGCCTTGCTTCCATGTCTCAAATAATTCTTCCTTTAAACTATCTTCAGGTAATACTTTTGAGGATCCCATCTACTTCCTCCTGGCCCCTCGTCAATACAATTCCTCATTTGTGTTTCTTCTCTATTTTCCATACTACATCCTCCAACAAGTTAAACAGAGTCACATTCTATCTTGACCTGGGCCACATAGTTAAGAATTAGATCAAGCTCAGATTCCTCAGCCTAGCTTTTTTCTTTTATCACAAAACTTTATTGATATGGCCCATAAAATTCATTTTAAGTGTACAATTCAATAATTTTTAGCACATTTACAGAGCTGTACAGTCATAAGCACAATCAAGTTTTTGGAACATTTCTGTCACCCCAAAGAAATCCTTCATATCCGTTTGCAGTCATTTCACATTCCCACCCTAGCCCCAGGGATCCACTTTCTGTCTCTATAGATTTATCTTTTCTAGACATTTTATATAAACAGAATCATATGTAGAATTGATATCTGACTCCTTTCATCTTGCATAATTAGTTGCATGTATCAATACTTCATTACTTTTATGCTAAATAGTAGTCCATCTTCTGGATAGACCCCAATTGGTTATCCATTCATCAGGAGATGGGCATTTTAGTTGTTTCTACTTTTTGGCTCTTATAAATAATATCGCACACAAATTTGAGTACATGTCTTAGTGTGGACACACATTCTCATTTCTCTTGGATAGGTACTAGAAGAGGAATTGCTGGATCATATAATAACTCTATGATTAATGTTTTGAGGAGCAGCCAAACTGTTTCCATAGAGGCCATACCATTTTACATTCCTACCAGCAAAGTATAAGAGTTTCATTTTTTCCTCATTCTCATCAACATTTTTTATTGTCTGTCTTCTTTTATATTATAATCATTCTATTGGGTATGAAGTGGTATCTCATTATGGTTTCATCTTGCATTTCTCTAATGACTATTAGTGTTAAGTAGTTTTTTCATATGCTTATTATTCATGTGCATATTTTTTGGAAAAATATCTATGCAGAGCCTTAGCCCATTTTTATATTGAACTGTTGTGAGTTTTTTCTGTGTATGTATTCCAGATATACATGATTTGCAAAGGGAACTCAAGCACTCTCCTTTCTCTTGTAATAGATTTATTTTGCCAGTTGTGCGTTTGGAACAGAGGACATCAGGACCTCTGGAGGCTACTTCCACCTGGCTAATATCTTCTGTAGCCTTAAAAAATTGGACTTGGCAGACACATTGTACACTAAGGTGAGCTGGGGAATGTGGGAACTGAGCCTTAACATTTAGGCCTCGTATCTTATAACCAGTGTCAGACTGTTCATAAGGAACATACCAGCCAGCCATGGTGGTGTATGCCTATATCTCAGCACTGTGTCAGGCCAAGGCAAGAACATTTCAAGTGTAAGCCCATCCTGGGCCACTTAGCAACTTAGTGACTTCACCTCAAAAAATTTAAAAGGACTGGGTTCAGTTCCCAGTACTGAGAAAAAAAAGTAGAAGGAGCAAAAGAAGCAGAGAGAGAGAGAGAGAGAGAGAGAGAGAGAGAGAGAGAGAGAGAGGCTTGAAAAATGAAGTGACTTGCCAAGGGTTACATAGCCTGATACATGATATACATACTCTACTTTTCTTACTGTTTTTCTGCTACCAAATAGCTTAATCTTTCCCCCTGTCACACCCATAGGGGCAAACTAATGGGGCCTACTGAAGCATGTGACAGAAGAGAAGGGCTCTTCAAGAGAAATTTATCAGTGTAAGGTCCTGTCAAGGGATCAAAGAACATGAGAATGATAATTAGAAAATTCTACCTTTATATGTAATAAATTAAAACTGTTTTCATGTGCCAAAATATACTGTCTTCATTCAGCACCACCTCACTTAGCCAGAAACCATTTATGTGTGTGATATAGGCTCTCATGCTGTGACTATTGATTTATATTTTAGACCCATTTCATAGAAATACTGAAAAGCAGTGAGTCAGGTCTAGGTTTAAATCCAGGCTATACCTCTTGACAGCTCTTCCCAAAAGTCAAGTGTGATCATAACTTCTCTAAGCTTTGGTTTATTTATATGTAAAATGAGAATAGTAATGGATCGGATGTTGTAAGCAAGTAAGGGTTTAGTATGGTATGTGCCCCACAGGTGTTATTAGACTCCACCCCCAGATGAGCCTGCTATGTGTCCTTTGCAGCCCATCTCTTGTCATGCTCACTTTGGCAAGGCCTGTTGGGGGTCCCAAGGCTCTCTCTGTCCCCAGACACTATAAGAGAGGGGATCCAGACTTGGGAAAGCTGGCTTCATGAGCTGTGCTCCCATCTGGTGGGTCCAACAGCTGAGGTCTGGCTTGTTTGTCTGATTGCCATCCCCTTTCCCAACAGGTATCAGAGATCTGGCATAAATATTTGGATGATCACTATCAAGTCCTCTCACAGGCTCGCATCCAACAAATAGATTTACTAGGGAAACAATTTGTGAATGACACCGGGTTGGGTAAGTGGCAGTTCTCCCTAGGAAGAAGAGCAGTGATTATCCTACCTAACACATAGGCTTTGCCCCTAATGGGAAGAGGAGCTGTTTGCATCATGGGGAACTAGTGTGCTAGTGCCACCTTCCCTGTTTTACTAATGAGGAAAACTGAGAGATGAGGGTCAGAGCTTTTGCCTGTGTTGGGAATAATTCAGATCCCTATCATGACATGTACCCCTCAAGGAATTAATAAGGGGCAGATCTGGAGAAAAAAGACCCAACTAGCACCCCACCCCCACCCCACCCCGTAGTTTCTTCAGAACATCCATCTCTTGTATGTTATTCCTCCAGGGCACATAAGCTCTTCAAAGGTAAATAAATAATAAATAAACCACATTGCTGGTTTATTCTGATGGCTTATCCTCCTCCTTTACAGAACAATGAGGTTCTCAGAAACAGGACAAAATTTGGTTTATCTCTAACCCTAGGCTCAGCAGAGGGCCGAGGGCTGAGCAGTACTAGACAGCACCATGCCCTTTGAGACAAGAAAAAGAGTCAGGGGATCTCGTTTGGACTCAAAAGAAACATCCTATGCAGCTGGTGGCACAGAATGTATGCACAATAATGAAAGAACATTTCCACAAGTACAAATAAAATTGCAAGATGAGTCTGGAAATGAAGTGAATACAGTTTGGTAGTGTTGAAGAAGTGAGACTTTGGAGGAAAAATTTTGAGCCAAAGTTAAAAAAATTAATACACTTACTGAGGTTTTTTTCTCACTATAAAAGCGGTTCACATTTCAGCAGAAAGCTTGGAACTCATAGATGTCTCCAACCTTAACATCATGGTGTCTGCCCTTTTTGCTTTTTTCATTAAGCTTATTAAAGATGTGCTTTTAAGTACCTGGTCCATAATAATTGCTCAATAAATAGTGACTAATGTATGACTAAACACCACTGGAGAAAATAGTAAATAGTCTCATGTGGAGGAGCAGAAAGACTTAAGTATCTTTGGACTTTGGGAGAGGAATTAACTGTTGCAGCTGCCAGAAGTACCCCTGGCTCCCTCCTCTCAGCTACAGAGTAGAAATGGCACCCAAGGAACTAGACCCAAGGAATCAGCCATGACAAATTCCCTAGATTTAGGAGTCCCAGAAATTTAGGATGGAGGATCTGAGAGAGAAAACCTAGCATTTTGAGATCCGTGGAAGAGCATTTTTAAGGTTGCTCTGATAATGACGTGCTAGGCAAAGCTAAAGAGCTGCTTGCCATACTCTACGGCTTCCTGCTCTACATGTCCTTTTCCCAACAAGGAGCATGCTGGGATTTGTGCTGTTTCTACCAGAGCTCCTGCAAGGAGCCTTCAGAGGGCCAGGCACCCTACAGCTGAGCACTTTTTTTTTTTTGGTACCGGGGATCGAACTTGGAACCTTGCGCTTCAGCTGAGCACTTTTGATGAGGGCAGGCTCAGCTGCTCCGTCCGTGTTTCTTTCCTCCCCTTCTAATGCAGATGAAGCCCAAGAAGCAGAAGCTATTCAGATCCTGACTTCTATCCTGAACTTTCGAGAATCAGCTCCTGACAAAGCTCCTCAAAAGACTGCCTTTGTTCTGAAAACTCTGATCATGCTTTACTACCAGATGATGAAATCTTCAAAGGCAAGTTTCCCTATAAAAGCTGTATGTCTAAAATGGAGATAGAAATTTGCCTCGTGTATGGATGGATTCAGCTATGTTTTGCCCAGTCCCACTAGATTTGTCCTGAGAGCAAGCAAGCCCTCCCTCTATAAAAGTTCAGATGCTCATGACATTTCTCATCTGTTGAGTCCAGCTTACACGGTGGAACCTGGATTGCCTTCTTCCCTTCAGGGAAACTTCCGAGGCTCACATAGGCGAACTGAGTTTGGGGCACTGCCAGAAAGTCTGCAGGGCAATAGGCTCTGGGGAGTGCCTGGAGAATGAAGTGGCCACTCTAACTACACTCAATTACCCAGGTCCCTATGCAGGGGTTCAGGTAGGAATTAATTGCTGTGAACCAGTTAAAAAGGTAAGAGGCTTAGGGTTATGATTATTATATACCAGTCACTGGCTTAAGCCCTTTACATAATTATCATATTTCATATGATAGTTCTCATAACAACTTTATGAGGTTGGTATTTTTATTATTCCTACTTTACAGGTAAGGAAATTGAAGCACAGAGAGGGTCAGTTATTTGCCCAGTGTCTTACAGATAGTAGTGGCATATCTCAGGTTTATTAATTTATCAGTTGAGTGATTCACTCGTTTATTCACACATTTATTGGATGTCTTCTATTTGTGAGGCACTGTTCTAAGGACTGGGGTACAGTGGGTGAACAACCAGAGAAGTTTTCTCTCTCCAGAGAACTTGGGATTTGGGGAGGAGGGGAAGCCACAGTAAACAGGTAAACATATAAATATGTAATATAGTTTCAGATAGTGAAAAGTGTGATAAAGAAAAATAAAGCAGGCTGGGAAGAGAGAGCATGGGGAGGGCTGTTTGGAAGGCACCTTTCTTGTGTGGGTAACATGGGAAATCAAGATTCCCTTCTTCCTGCCCTCCTTTCCTTTCTTCCTTCTTTCCTTTCTCCACCAGACATTTACCAACCAACTACTCTACATCATGGCCTGGAGGAGCTCATAGTCAGGGGTTATAGGAGAGTGTGACAGAGAAGCCCAAGGCACTGTGGGAACACAAAGAGGTGCGCTGACCCTGACTGGAATAGGGCATAGGTCAGGAATGAATGGTCAGGGAATAGGGAACTATTTCCACCATATTTTCCAATTTACATTGGACAAACCTCTTTTCTACAGTGTGGGACTCAATTTTGGGAAAGTCACTACCCCAAGGCATTTTCAGAGTGTTAGGTCTACAAGAGGTCCTTAGACAAAAGGGACACATCTGTAAATCAAGATTGGCACCTTGCTTCCTGCAGGTCTTCACTCAGCACTCTCCTTTTTAGTGCAGCTTTTCCTAGCCTCCCTGTCTAAAATTACAAAACCCCACTGCCATCTCCAATGCAAAGGGATTGCCCCCCTTTTGTTTTATTTATTCTTTACCATATTTTACTAATTAAGATACTATTGTGTTTTACTTGTTTTATGATCCTTCTCTCTTACTATATTATAAATTCTAAGAATATAATTTCTGCCTATAGTCACAGTACCTGGAACATAGTAACTAGTTAATAAATATTTATTAGGAAGAAGGAAGGACAGATTACTTGAGAGGCTGAAGCAGGAGGACTGCAAGTTTGAGGTCAGCCTGGGTGACTTAGTGAGACCTTGTCTCAAATAAATAAATAAATAAATAAAGAGATATCTTAGTTACTTTTCTCATTGCTGAGACAAAAATACCCGACACTGAAAGTTAAAGGAGGAAAGGTTTATTTGGCTCACAGTTTGTAGAGGTTTCAGCTCATAGTTGGCTGGCTCCAAGGCAGGGTGGCCTGGCAGAGGAGCATCACAAAGGAGAAACAGTTAATGGCAGGCAGAATAAAACAAAGGCAGCAAGCAGCAAGTGACCACAGCAGCCCTCTTTCTGTCTCTGAAATTCTATCCAGGCTACCCAGGGTGGAGCACCCTTAATCCTAGAATTGCACCATGAATCAGTCTTAGCATCACATCCTTAATTCCAGCATTACACACTCTAGATCTAGCCACCTCTGAAAAGCCTCACCTATGAGCTTTGGTGGGGGGACATCTAGATACAAGCTATAACAAAAGGGAAGAAAGGGAAGGAGGAATAGAAATTCCCAGGTTGTCTTGCAAGACCTCTATCGAAGTCAAAAACTCTGGAGTTGTAACTTATCCCCCAGGATAGTAATTTATTTGTGGCACTGCATTAATCACTTTCCTGTCACTGAGATAAAATATCTGACACTTGCAATTTAAAGGATGAGAGGTTTATTTTGACTCACAGTTTTAAAACTTTCAGTCCATTGTTAGCTGACTCCAATGCAGAAATGGCATTGGGGAAGGGCGTAGGAAAGGAAACCTGGTGACCTCAGGAAGCACAAGGGAAAGGGAGGAGCTGAGGACCAGTATATATACCCTTCTAGGTCACACCTCCAGTGACCCGCCTCTTCCAGCCAGGCCCCACCTCCTAACAGCATGTTCAGCTATGAATTCGTCAGGAGATGAATCCACTGAGGAGGATAGCACCCCTATGATCTAGTAACCTTTCAAAATCCCCACCTCTGATCAGGAGACTTTGAGGGGAACATTTAGATCTAAACCATGGCAGGCATCCATCACTTCTGTACCTCCCAATGTCAGTCCATAGGGCTCTAATTAAAATCCTGTGAAGATTTCACTTTGCTAAGAAAGTGTACGTATTTACACTTAGTTGGTCAAGCCAAATAGATTTTCCCACTCAGCACATGTGTAGCCAGCCGCAAGGGCCCAGTGTGTGTTCACAGTTTATCAACAAGAGCTCAGTGGCTGGTGTGAGAAGGTAATGTGTTCTCTTCTATGTTTCTGGAGATAACAACAGGCAGGGCTTCCCAGTGTTATACTTTCTTGTAATAATGTCCTTTTGTCATTGAAATTCTATTTCAGGCACAGGAATATGCCATGAGAGCCCTCACACTAGCCAAAGACCAACAGCTCAATGTCCAAGAGCAAAAGAGTATTCAAGAGTTACTCACTCTCATCTCCGCTGAAGAAGATTGTCCCATTTCCTAGTGACCCACTGGCTCTGTGTACTGAATACCTAGTACCTTTCAGCTGAAGTTTGCATACTTTTCCCCTGGGACTGTGCACATAGCCATGATTCTATCAGCATATGTGAGGAAATATAGAGCTTTAGGCGTGGAAATCAGTAAAACTTGTTTTTCATGCTTGGTTTATCATGACTTTGTATGGCCTTGAGTAACATGCAGTCAGATCACTAATATGGTGTTTGTAATTGAACTGTAAATAATTTGTCATATTTCCCAGCTATCTCCCAGTGATGCATATTTCATACATCTGTGCCAGGTGAGGAGGTAAGAAATAGAGTCATATCGGGAGCAAAGTTTCTCTATTCTTCTGGAATTAAATTAGCATTAATCTGAGGTAGAGTGAGATAAAATATCCATTATAGTTCACAGGGCAATCACTAAGAAAACAATTCTTAAAAATAGTTTAAAAATAACAAGAGAATCAATACGGTACACCAGAAAATATCCACTTAAAGTGAGGCAGTAAAAGAGGAATAGAGGAACAAAAAGAAGATGATTCCAAAGAGCTCTGTGAAATAAGGCTTTCTTGACTCCAAAAGTATAAACAGGTTGAAGAGAACCAGGAGCTCTTGTAATACTGAGGGCCCACCATTGAGTATCTCATCTTCCTGCCAAGCAACGCCATGCTTCCTAAGTATCCTCGGCAGCATTTTCAGGGGTGGAGCTGAGGCTTTACCTTGAAAGGTCTGGTTCAATTTTTTTCTACTACAAGGGCATATACAGTGTTATAAATTTTATCATGTTGTCTATAAAACTCTAACAAAAATTCACTTTGAGTAGCTCCTCTGCACTTACCCTGTAACGTTTTATAATTCCATAGCTATAAACCTTTGCTTTGCCATAGGTCCTCAGATGACTAAGATTAAAGCCAAGTTTCCCCACCACAAGAAGACCTAACAGTACCCCTTCAGCTACACAAGCAAATGAGGTCTTCTGTATTCACAATGACTATAACGTATGACATCTCTCAAGCATAGCAGGTCACACAGAACAACATTTGCCAAAGTTAATGCTTCAGAAAAAGTTGGTGAAGCATTCTGTGAATGACAGAAATGTTCCATCTTTTCATCAAACAGAAAAAGTATATCTTTTTTTATATTCATCAAGATCAATAGCAATGTGATATTTTATTTCATATATATGTATATAAAAGCATATAGTTTAATAGCTAACAAATATATAAATAAGTAGTAGCATGTTTTAAAAGCATAGAACAGGGTTACTATTAGAACCAGGATATCAAACCAGGACAATATAGTATAAACAGTGTTCCTTGCTTGTAAATTTTTGTCAGGATTGTAGATCTGCCAGAACATCTTAATGAACATGTCCAAAAATGAAAAAACAAGTTTTCAGTGAAAGAAGATGGTTCATACTTTGAAAGTGAAGTTCTACAAGAAACAAAATTAGATATAGAGGTGGAAGAAGATAAAAGCCAAAAATGACTCCTGGAATTTTTATTTTGTTTTGTTTTCTTTTTCTGGTTTGAGCAAGTGGTTGGCATTGTGCACTTGGGTGAGCAAGTGCTGAAGAGTAGCAGTTGTGTGTGCATGTGTATGAAATCTGCTTGGGGCATGGTGACTCTGAGATACTTAGACATTTGAGGAGAGATGAAAGGTGAGCAACTGGCTATGCAATCCGACATTAGGAAAAGAAGCTTGTTTTCAAAAGAGATATTTGAGAATATCATGTAGAGGGTCATTAATACCATGTAAATGGAGATAACCTAGGGATGAAATATAGATAAGGAAGAGAAGAGAGCAAAAGGCAATGTGGGGAAACTGGACATTTAATGGGGAAGAGGTGAACTCAGCAAGGAGGCTGACAGTTTCAGGCTTATTCAGCTCATATAAAGATTCCTATAGTATCTTTTACCTAGATTCCCCAAATGTTCACAATTTTTACCATATTTGCTTTATCGTTTTCTCTGTATAAATACTAATTGTCTTCTGAACCATTTGAAAGTAAGATGCAGACATGTCTTTTTAGCCCTTAATTTTTTTTTTTTTTTGGTGCCGGGGATCAAACTCAGAACCTTGCACTTACCAGGCAGGCTCCACACCACTGAGCTACATCCCCAGTCCAAACCCTTAATATTTTATGTGTATGTTTAAAAAACAAGGACACTCTTACATTTTCTCATCTGTCTAGTTGCTAAAGTCAGGAAATTACATGGGTAGGATCCTCTCAGACAATGCAATACAGACCATATTCAAGTTGCACTAATTCAGTTGTCCTAATTATGCCCTATATAGCAAGAGAAAATCCCTGAGCTGGCAGCGTCTTCAGTTGCCATGTCTCTTTAGTTAGGAGTGTGTTTAGATGTGACACAAGTGCTACTATTCAAATATTCTCTCACTTGTCTCATGGGAATTGCAGCCAGTTTTTAAAAAATAAATGAGGATGCAAATGTCCTTGGGAGATCTAAAGAGCGGTGAGTCACTGCAAGTACATAGAATCAGGCTGGCAGAAGAGCTGCAATACTTGAGGGAAACCTCTTTCCTGATTTAGGAAAACTGTAGTGAAAGCAGCAGCCAGTAGAAAAGCAGTGAGTACCAGTGTGACAGACAGATGGGTGCCGGCAGCAAGAAGCCAGGAGAGTCACAGAGACACTGGAAATAGAAAGGGAAACTTCACAGGCTTGTTCCTCAAGGAGAGGCAATCCCAAGATCCACCCACTTGAGGAGGTATCTGGAGCCAGCCTAAAGGTCTCTCTACGGTGCCCCTTCTGCACAGTTTCTGCCTTGCTGTTGCTTCAAGTGGATAAGCAACAACCTCAGTTCAAGACTTGGGCCTGGTGCCGACCATAAATTTGTTCCCAATGTTCTCATCACCTCCTCCCAGGAAGCCTCTTGAAATGTCAGGTGAGCACAAGTCTGATGCCCCTGATCTGTCAAGAGTGCTTTGGGTGGGCAGATTCTTCCAATGCCGAGACCTCTGCTTGCACTGCACAGCCATTTTTCACAGCCTTCAGCTCTCACTTTCCATTTGAGTCTTAATTCAAATGTCAGTCCAGGAGAGCACGCTGAGCGGGCCCTGAGAAGCTCCTACCATCTGCAGTAGCATTTCTCCCCATCATCTTGACAGTTGAGAGTGGGCAATATTACAATTCAGACAGCACTCTGTGTTTGAAAGGAAAATTATGGTTTTTCAGAATGCAGCTGCTGTGCAAGTGAATAGGACAAAGCATTTCCCTTATTTTAGGATATGAAAATAATAAAATGTAGATTCAGTGTGTAATTCTTATTTTAAAAGAACAACCAAAAGGCACAGAGTTTGAGGAACAAAGGCAAACAAAGCATTCTGTTCCACAGTAATAATTTTAATAAGAAGCGAAAATAGCAAAACAATCATTTATAAATGATTTCTTCTGTGTTGGAAGAGTATTGCTCTGGTATTGCTGTATAAACCACTTGGAAATGAGCTATTTTGGTGGCTAGTTAAGATCTATTCTTTAAAGCACATTTTCATTTTGCCAATTAATGCACTTTCAATTTGCCAACAATGAACTTTTCTGGAGGGTACTCAGCTGGAATACCTCCCCCAGGTGAGATTGACCTCATGAATCAGAGCAAAAGGAAAAGGAGTTTTTCATGTATGAAAAACACAGAAGCTGTTTTACACGCACTCGCACACACACATGCATGCACACACACATGTGTAAAAGTGGTGTTTTCAAGTGGTTTTCTTTGAATGGGTTGTGCACAATTTACCAGGACCCTTGCTTCTGAGAAAATCTTCACATGTCCTACCTCCCTGAAATGAAAATGTTTCAGTTTACGTGTCTCAGTTTCTTTTCTCTGTCACCCAGAAGTGGTGGTGCACTCTTAAATGTTTAACAACCAGCTCACAGGAGTGGCAGACATGCTATGTGGTGTTTGCCCATTTCTGGTGTAGATATTCCCACTGTGGCTGATTCTAAGCTACAAGTGTGATGTCTTTGAATGGTGGAGTTGGGAAGAGAGGGGCAGTGGCATACAATTATGCAGTTTTCCCACCATACAAATACAATGGATGTCAACAGCCTCAAGAACATAAATAGTAAAATAATTAGGAAGTTCATAAGTTTTGAGTTTTTCTTACCTATATCTTAATTGTAAGTTTATATAATGTCTAATAATGGTTGTGTTTAATAACCAGCTCACAACATTCCTGGAAATTTAACAATCTGCTGTCTTGGCTGGTACAAGCCTGCTTCAGTATACTGCTGGAGCTCGGGGGACCTCTAGGTGCATGTAAACTCACCCAGCACAGCCTAGTCCTGCCTCCACAAAGAACTTTGTTGGCTCCATAGAGTGATCATGGGCCCCCAGCTCTTCCCTTGTAGGAAATCAGTATCCTTCTAAACAGGAGATTCTAAGAGTCCCACTCAGGACAGGCTCTGGACAGTAGAAGTGTAGCTACTTTATTGGCTGGTCCCATCTATCTCAGGGCTGTCATTCTTGTCAAGTGCAGATGGTGCTGTGTATCAGTTCCCTGGACAGCCTGGGCCTCCTGCATTCCCCTCATCCTCTGTTTGACAGGTTGAATTCAAGTCCTTGGCACCTCCTCCTTTCATCTGATGCAAAGCCAGTAAACCTAATACAGGAAGAGCCAAAAAAACCAGGTGCTAAATCACTAAAGGCCAGGCTGCTCATCAGCTTTCCAGCCTCCCAGTTGTCCGAGGCAGCCTTTCCTTCAGGATATTTCTAAGCCAGATACATCCCCTGTATCTTTTGTATAGCATCATAGAATCTCAAGGATGGATGAGACTTTCCTATCATTAAGCTCAAATGACAGCCTGCTTGAGCAGCCGCCAGCCCTACCCCCAGCATCCCTATTCCCAGCTGCAAAGCTGCTGTCTGCCAGCTTTGATCCCTTGGCACTGAGCCACAAGCACAGGAAGGCTTGTGATTGCTCACAGTGGGGGCAGCCAAAGGAAAGGAACCTGAAGAAAAAGTGCTTCATTTTCAAGATTGTGTTTATTGATTGCATCAGAAGTGTCAAAAGCAAGACTTAGCAAGTTGAGGTGACTGTACCTACAAGCTCTAGCTTATGTCAGGTTTTGAATCCCACTTGACTCAAACTGCTGCCATTCACACTAGCCCCTATTGCCTTCCATGGGTATACCCCTGACACGCTAGTGGTGAGCATGGTTGCTAGGTTGCTGGGTTATCCTAGTGAGAATGAAATGTGTCCGCTTCAGAGATAGCATGTGAGTTCCCCTTGAGGAAGGAGTTGGCTTTGTTCGGGAAATTCCTTCTGTAAGCCACCCATGCTAAAGGTTGAAATCATGAAGGTACAAGTGCTAGGAATCAAAGTTAAAAAAATAAAGGAATGATTATACATAAGAACATAAATGGACTTGCCATGTTCCAAGAGAGATGGGGACCACGTGGAATGGCAAGTGAGTGGAGATTCCTTTGCAGTATATGAAAAGAAGATTCTGAGCATGTTGCCAAGACTGCATTGCTACAGTGTCTGCTTTTCCCTCTCACATCCAGATGAGTATGCAGGTACACACATTCATCTGAATTTTGCTACAGGTGGAAATGGGGGAGGGCACTGAGCTTCATGTCTTCACTGATGCAGTGCGGGGATGAGACAACACTGTTGCTTACAATGAGGTAGCAGAAGTCTGAAATCAGTAGTAGCTATAAAAAAAAATCCCTTAGAAATCACAGAAATACAAGGGATCAGAATGTGAGCAGCTGTTAGATCCACTTGGATTTGAAGGGTAAGGGGTTCTCAGCTGACATTTGGGCTGTAACACAGAAGAATCTGAGCCTAGTGTCTTGCTGTAAGGGGGACACACTGTGCCATAGAAAGTGGGAGGAAACTTCTGGCCTTGTTGCTGATTGCAAGCAGAGTGTGTGGCAGATTCCCCTTTAGGCGTGCCTGATGGGAGTTCATAACGCCAAATCCTTGGCCTTCAAGGCCCTGTGCAGTGAGAGGACATTCGCCAAATTAGGGCCGAGGAAGCCCTCAGTCAGCTATCAGTGAGTATGGGGTGGAGCTAAATGGTCTTGGCTAATTTTGAAGAGGGTGCAGGACAGGAACCAGCTTGCACCCTGGAAATCTCTTGCGCCTTTGGGGCTCTCACCAAGATCCATGCAAGCGCTGAAGCAATGTGCCCATCACCACTACATTGATTCAGAAGAAGCTCATCAGAAGGGGAATGAGCAGAGGGTGGGCCCAGGACAGTAGAAAGTGCTAGATGTATAAGGAACAGAACCACCTCTGGCTGTGTACTAACCTGGATGAAAGTCACCTTGCCTGGATTCAGCCTTGCTGCTGACTGGCAAAGTGACTGTGGCATCTGGAGCCAGAATTCCTTTTTATAAAACGAGGACTAGACTGCTCTCCAAGAGCTGCAATTCCTGTGCCCTCCAATCTAGCTCTTGGGGGTGATTTTCCTAATGTTGCTTTGGAGTCCTAGAGAACATGAACTTCACAGAACAGGGTCACAAAATAGGGTTAAGATATCGGCCCGGGGCTTGGGATAATGTCGCATGTTGGCAGGAACTGTACCTGAAGAAGGGAATCAGAAGGCATGAAGGAAGAAAGTTCACATTCAGCTGTGTGCATTTTAGGAGGGAGGGCTGCAGAGCAGAGCCATAAATTTGGAAAGGGGCATTATCTAGTTTTAGGGAAGATTAAAACATCCTGAGAAGGATGGTCTCCAAATAAAAACATTTTAAAGTGATCATCTGTACTGATTCTGAATCTTGGTGGCAAAGTCAAAGGCAGCAGCAAGTTTTCTAAAAGGCTATAGCCCCAACCTAAGAGCATTAACTTCAAGGACAATGACAATTAGCTGTTTTCAGGGTCCTTCCCAAAACATCTACACAGACTAACTGCAAACACAGGCCTCACCTCCAGGGAAAAGGGAAGTATTAAGCTGAAGTGGCTTGTCTGATGGTGGATTCATGTTCGGGCCTGACTCCCTTCTCTTCCCTCAGTAAGTTGTGGCTCTTGGCTTTACCACCCATGGTATCCTGATCCATTCAATTCTGGGAGGGTCAGCTGTTACTTGAGTGGTCCTGGAACATCATGTCCCCATTAGCTGCTTCCATCTTCTTCAGATTTATAGTGTTCTCAAAACCAGCATTCCTTGAGACTTAAAGAAGGGATGAGGCACATCTCGCCCAATTCTCCAGGTTGGACACAAGTCCATGCATCCCAGTATCTTTATACAGGGCAACTGGCTTCAAAGACATCTACCTGTAATCAATATATCATGATTCCTTCATTAAAATAACCCACAAGAGAGCCATTTTTTCCTTCTTCCCACTAGAATTCCAAGTCATCTCAACTTTGTTTTTCTCCCACAAAACTATGCCAGACCTTTCCTCTTTTCCTTCCTCCTTACTATATTCCAATCATGGTCTCCCTTAGCTGGGAGCATTGAGTCTACAACTGTGATAGTAATGGCTATGAACCGCTTACATTGTTTTTCAGATCCTAAAGATCTAAAGCCCCCCATCCATACTCTGTTCATTCCATACCCAATCAGACAAATAGCATGAAGACATTTTTCCCAAGTGCAGAATCATATATATTCTGAGTGACTGAGCTATTGATTACCACTCAAGTTTTGACCAGTTTCAAGATGCTACTACTCGATAAAGGGAAGACCATAATACAGACACTGAATCTATGTTACATAACGGAGACTTCGTTAGTTGGTATACAAGAGTCAAGGGTTTTGGGTTATAAACAACACATCCAGAAGGGTCTTGGGATATCCCCAAAAGCCTTATTCTTTTCAGGTTGTAAGTTTCCTTAGCTGGAAAGAAGGACTCCGAGAAGCTGCATGCCTTTCTTAGGGTCTCCACTGTTTGGTTTGTTGATGCCAAGAATTCATGGTCTCCTCCTTTAACTTCTTCAGAACAGTCGAGATGATACAGCCTCACCTATTGACTCACTGCAACCTCAGTGTTGAGAGGTAAACTCAATAGGCCTTCCCCGTCTGAAGAGTGGGGAAATAAATACACAGAGCTCACAAGATCACACAAGGGTGGTCAGCTGTCTAAGGGAAGAGTCAGAACCAGGCTTTGGCTCGGTTCCTTGTTTTTTCTAGCAGGCGTGGGCAGCTGTGACATGTGTGACTGGGCCACCTGGCTGAGGCTCACAGCTCACAGCCAGCTGTGGTATGGAAAATCCTGGAAGGATTCAGCTGTGAATCAGCTTTCTCTACTTCTAGACAGGACTAGGTTCCAGGCAATAATGCCAGTGACACAACAGATGTCACTACCAGCTGGAAAATAGGTCTCCTTTGGCAAAGGACTCTGGAGACATGCTAGCTGCTCTGCTCAGAATGGGGCCTGGCTAGCATCCGTTTAGACAAATTGTGGAGACAAGTCTTACACCAAACAGTAAACATGAATGAATGCAGCTTCCAGGAGGTCAACACCTGTTTCAGATGTTTACACAGAAAAAATCTGATTAATTCCAGCATGAACAAACCAAAAACTATCCTTCTTCTAAAGCCACTCTGAGTGGTAAAGATAAGGTACATCTTAACCTACGTAAGGGTGAAGTATTATCAATTTTCAACTGTACAAGACATATTACTTGGGTTACAGTTCAGTGGCATGCATCCTATGGACTGCATTTAAACTACAACAGTGTTGCATGACATTACAGTCACATGGCACCAAACACTTTTCAATTGTACAACTGTTCCTTGGTGAGATCTGGTTTTCACCACAATATTGTAAGAACCAATTTCTACTTAAATTTGTGAAGAATGTAATAGTTTAACTTTACACTCATTTTATATTTACAGCAGAGGAAGTTTGCACTCAAATGGGTGGTGTTGCCTTCAAAGTAGTTACCTTGGAAAGATATATGTTTATTTCATGAAGGTCACCTTATGCAGAACATTTCTAGAACTCTCTTTGGAAACTGTCAACTTGTAAGCTTCCTAAGATTAGTCAATCTTTGTCCTTTAAGGGCAGATCTATTTTTTGAGAAATATTTTTTCAACAACCAAAGGGCAGTAGAAAATAAGTCTGATAAATAAAATGGGTGAGGAGCTTAGCACTACCTTAGCAGGTGGCACAGGAGGAGGGAGATTAAAACAACAAAAGGTCTGATTATAAAGTTGTGAGGCCTCTTCCTCTCCTGGCTTCAAAGATAATCCCAAAGAGGAATTGTAGCATTCTTGGCACATGCAACATCATAGCTCAAGAGTATGGTCTCCCAAGCAAATAACTCCAATAATGGTAATTCTTGAGTGCATATGTCCTAGTGTACCTGGTCATTGCTCATTTTCAGTTATACTTCATATAAACAGAAATGGAAAAGTCCTTCACTATGATTTCTCCTAAGGGAAAGGTCTGATCTACTGCTTGAAGAGTTAAAATGAAAAGCACTTGGTGTCATGTCTACATGAGCTCCCCTCCCACACTGTGCAAGGAGTAATTCCTAATACCTGAGTCTCCTCAGTTTTGTAAAGGGGGTAAGGACAGGTTTCTGGAGCCTGGATAAGAGTAGAATGTCCAGGGGATCGCAGTGTGTTTCCAATGGCTGGCTCTACCCAATAGGCCCACAACATTGACTCATACAGAAACCCTTCTACAGCTACACAGTACATAAAGTTTCAGCAGAGGAAGGGGAAAAATGATTATCTTCTGGTAACTTTCTGTGGTAAAAACCCACTGGCTTCTGGATGACAAGCAAACAGAATTTGTTGAAAAGCAAGTCCATGGTGTTAGATTCTAGTGCACGCTTAAGAAACAGTGTGTGGCCACCAGCCCATTGAAGTACCTTTCCAGCTGAGGCCAAAGGCAGCAAAGGTGCAAGAAGCTGCTGGAGCTGGCATTAGTTGAAGCAGGGTGAATTCAGAGTGGCAAAGCAATTTGCAGAAAGTCCCAGTTACAAAGCAGGGCATATGTCAACCAGTAAGGTCAAAGAACATTCAATCCCACTTTCTACAAAGTGCTTCATTGCGAATGCTAATGAAGAAGCGTCCTAAAACACCATATCCTGAGTGTTGAAGAAATATGGTCAGGATGTGACTGAAGGGAAGCAGAGACTGATCCTCTTGATAGTATTTCAGCTATGTATTTTCCAAGCATCACACACATGCTGAGTGAAGAACATATTACTCTAGTCACATTCCACCTCATCTGCACAGGCTTCCATCTTATGGTTGTGAGTAGTGTTTCCAGGAGCCAGTCCAAATTCATGTTCTTGACTGCTAATAGCCAGAAACAGCAGCACAGAATCAGTGCCTTAAAGTCTACCATTCTATCCAAGTACTCACAGCAGGCCTTAGTCTCAAACTGATCAGCTGAGATTTCGGTGGTGGTGAGTGTTTTCGTATTAGCCTTTGCAAAAACCACAAAGCTAGGCCATTTGCTCAAATCATCATTAGAAAGAATGCTGAGTGCCCAGATTTGGATTTCTTGTTCCTGTGCAAATGAAATCACATTAGTCCAGATTTTATTCACATGAAACTACTAGGGAAGCAGTACGATTTGGTTTAAATGCTGCCAAAAAGCAGGAATTCACTTAAGTTTTAATTCTGAAGCAATCCTATTGTTAATGTTGTAGCCAGGCTCAGAGAGCACAGGGGGTGATCCCCCCACTGTATTTGCTGAGGAATCCCGGACCTCTACCAGTTCAGGCTCACTCTCGCTAGAGGTAGACCCATTGTTGATGGTGTAGACGCTCTCTGTGACTCCCTGAGCTGAAGCACAACCATCTGGCTCCTTCTTCTCCCTGGGGCTTGACAGTCCTGGGAGGATAGCCATCTTCCCAGTCTGCCTGTTTGGCAGCAAGGTCATGGAATAGTCTGCAATGATCCCACCCACATCTAAGTTGCATGCCTGATCAAAGGCTAGGAAGCCAACGTTGGCATTTGCTTCACACACCACAAAGGAGCCATCATCCATGATGAGAAGATCAATGCCACAGAAGTCCATGCCCAGGATGTTGGACACCTGAATTGCCAGCTGCTTGCCTTGTTCTGTCAGTGGGCACATGACACCCACACCACCTGTGGGGAAAGCATAGTGAGTCAAGGTGGCAATGGATACTCGCTGAGAAGTCAAATGATGCGTCAAAGAAGAGATAAGGACTGCTGAAAGGGGCCCCAAGACAGGCACTGTCATTTTTCACAAAAAGTCTGAATGAAAATCAGGACACCCTTTGGGAAAATAATATGGTTGTTTCTTGTCTAGAGTCTTAAAAATGCTGATATCCTCTGACTCAACCATCCCATCACTAAAGAAATAATTTTATGTATGCAAAAAAACTTTATGCACAAAGATGATGATGGCAATATTATTTAAAATACTGCAAAATCATGGTCCCTGGTACATAGTGGCTTTCAATAAATATTTGTCAAATGAAGAGATAAAAAAAATTATGATCTAACCACCACCTGCCTGGCAAGTGCAAGGTCCCGAGTTCGATCCCCAGTTTAAAAAAAAAATTATAATCTAAATATCTTACAAGGGAAGAAAACAGCATATTTTACAACCATTAATAACACTGCTCATAGAGTGTTTGTAATTCCATGGGAAAACACTTAGAAGGCACAGTATGACCAGATCGCGCAAAAGCATATTTGTCAGAAAAAGACTGGAAAGAATGACACCAACATGTTACCAGTGGCTGTTTCTAAATGGTGGGGATAATGATAATTTTTTTTAAAAAATGTGTGCTATATTTTCTAAATTTTCTACATTGAGAATGTATTCCTTTTATGATTAGAAAAAACAAAATTAATGTTCATTTTTAAGAAAAGAAAAACACAGAGGATTGTGAGACAAAGTCCTGTACCAAGAACAGGAAGAATCTGATGGCCTATACTTGTTAAAAAGCTAAAGGCGAAGGGGAAGTGGGAGGGGCAGGGGGAAGGAAAGAAGGGAATGGAATTAATATGAAAAAATGGAAACAAAGTCTTTGTAAATAGGAAGGGTGGAGGGGTTGAAGGGAGGGCAGGGGAATGGGGAAAAATAAGAACCAAGATATATCATGTAAAGGTATAAATTTCCAATGATGAATGTCATTATACTGTATATCTAAAATGTACCAATAAAATTAATTAAAAAATTGTCTCCATCTACTCTCCCCGAAAAGTCTTAAGATTTGTATTCTCAGGTCCCATAACTAATGTCTGTACCTTAACACTATCCCTTCTCCACCTATGACATTGTATAGGGAAAAGGTTATAAAACAATTTTAGAACAGCCTACCAAGAAAAGCAACATGGCTATATAATAAAACCTTCTGATTACTAGTTAAAGAATGAATTTTGTAGGGTAACTTAAAAAACAAAATAATTCGTAATGTTCACTACTGCAGTTATTGTGATTATTGTGAAAATGGAATGAGATAACTTCTACAGTACTGAGTACTGTGTCCAAGTGAATCTTAGCACTTGACCATCACACCACTTTGCCACAATACTTTACAATTATCTGTTTGCACATCTGGATCACGTGCTAGCCAAGGGCAAGGACTCCCTCATAATCTCTATCCTCTCAACATCTGCTGCAGAATCTGCTGTGGGCTGCTTAATAAATGTGAGTAAAAGAAGGACTCAATTAGTGTCTAAGCCTCTTTATGTCACTGGGCTTGGTGTGTACATCTGATGAGTTAGGAAATAGTGACCGTAGGTATTTTTTTATTTACCAGGATACAAATTTGCTCAGTGTGGTTGACAATAGCTTTGTGTGATGGGGCCAGGAATACATTCCTCCTGCAGTATTTCTACTCACTGTGACAGAAAGCAAGCTATATGGGTAAGTTAAAGGGCTACCCATTCAACCAAAATATAAACTGCAGCTTTCTAACAGCATCATACATAAGAGGAAAAAGTTTTCCAATTAAAATGTAAACAAAATATGATATTCCTCCAGCTATTGTTTGAGGTTAACGTTCCCAGCCTGAGCTGTTGCTCCATCTTCCAAATTCATCTTCCTGCCTCCTGTCTTACTCCATCTGTTCTTTACCAAAATGAGAATTTTCCTCAAATGTGGGTCCTCACATCACTCCCTTGTTTAATCCCGATGCTAAGTCTCAATATCTATAGGACAGGATTCAAACCGCAGTGTCCCGACACTCCTGACCTGACCTCTGTCACAGCACTTCCATGTCCTCCTAGCCCGCTTGTGCCCTAGGAGAGGGCTCATTTTTTATTCTTCTCTGTGAGATCCTGGCATCTGGCCAAGGGTCTGACAAGATGGCAGGCATCAATACTCATTTACTGAGCAGGTCCAAATAGACTAATGAAATACCCTGGTGGCCTTTCCTGACCAAGAGGCTCACTCTGTGCCTTCCATTCTTACCAAGAGAGCAGTTGCTCTGCATCCGTCCATCTGTGGAGCAGCGAAGCATAGAGCCTATCACCTGACCCCCAACCACCACCACTCGGATATCTTTTCCGTGGGACTCCTTCACGTATTTCTGGAACAGGTAGGGCACATCGTGGCGGATCAGATGGCAGATGTCTGAGAGATGATGCTTGTCTCTTGCCAGAAAAACAGCTTTTCCTTTAAGAAGAAAGATGAAGAACAAGAAAAATAGTTAGAGAAGCCTCAGGCCCCTGTCCTTGTCTCCTGCCTTCCTATCCCAAACAGGCAGGAACTCTCTTTGTACCCGCCTTGCTCTGGTCCCTTCTATTTCTCTGATGAGACTCTTGCTTTTTTTCAAAATAAGGCCATTCAACCTTATTTTCTCTTGATTTTTCTCAAGTCTTAATGCCATTCACTCTCTTCCCTCACCACCATTCTTTTTTGGAAATGAAATAATACTGTATTCCATAAACACAGACAAGGAGCTAATCAGTTCAGTTTCCAAAACAGCTAATTAGCATCTCCTATCACCCTGAGGACACTGATTAGGCAGGGTCCATCGCTAACTTTTTTTTTACCCCCCCCAGACCTCATACTGGGCTCAGTGCACAGGGCAGATGTCCATCAGTGTTTACAGAACATAATTAATTGAACATACTTTAAAGGAAGCCCAAGTGTGGATGGAGAGAGATCCAAAAAAAGATAACTACAACCCAGCATAATGTGCAGTAAAAGAGGTCTATGCAAAATGCTATGGGCATTCAAAGGAGGGAGCCATTGACAGATACCCTTTTAAGAAAGATAAATTTATATTACTTGGCTACCCTCAGAAGGGAATAGCCCATATATCTATTGCTCTCTAGATAGGCATTCCTTCTTCATTCTAAATTCTTTATTTTGTTTGCTTTTGTAATTATTCAGCATCTGTTTTTCATCTGCATATTCGTTAATGGTTCTGAGAAGGGGTATTCCTAATAGGTTTGCTCTGTGGATCTGACACAAGCATACCCAGTCTGAGTATTCTTTCCTGCAAAAATGGAACAAAGAGATGATTTTCCCAAGTTTCATGTTACCATTACAAAAGGAGTAGACCTCTTCTGAAATCTTAATAAAACAGCAATAGGCATTAATCTGTAATGGCATATAAGACTGAAAAATAAAATCTAAAACATGTCATAACCAGTTTTCAATCATTCCTGAAATACTAAACCCCAGATGCCCAAGAGAACTGGAGGAGTTGGGGCACGTGATCTGAGGCTGTCACAGGACCGGTGATAGGAGGGTGAGCAGTTAAGTGGGCAGTCAGTGTCTGCTGGAGAGTGCCCCACAAGTGGGCACAGGAAGAACAGGAGAGGTTCCAGTAAGTGGGCACAAGAGGAAACTTTAGAGGCCTCAGCAAGTGGGCACAACACAGCATCCAACTTGTTCCAACTCTCAATGCATGGAGGTATAAGCAGTTGGACATTTGGCACCAGGAGATCTGGCATCTGCCAAGAGATGCCTGGGATTCAGTTAGGGGCACCAGGGTTCTCTGGACCTTAGGACTTTCAGCAGAGATGGGGGCTATGGACTGGTTCCTGGCACAGAGGTTCTAATATGGGGCCCAGTCTGCAGTTAATAAAAGAACTACAGTTTTAAGTGAAGGAAGAAAAAAAAAAAGAAGGACACTAAGATTAATCATCTATCACATGCTAAGCACTTTTTCTTTTACTATTTCATTTATACTTCAAACTAGCTCTATGAAGTCATTATGACAAGGATGGTTATTCCTTAAGAAAAAAAGAGTGTCCATAAGATTAGTAACTTTCTATGGGCATAGCCTTCACCACCTGCCTTCTTTAGATTTATTTCCTTACACTTTCAGTTCTCCATATCTGAGGGCTCCCCATCCGAGTATTCAACCAATCGCAAGCCTTGCAATTATTCCTGAAACAATATAGTTTAATAATTATTTACATAACATTTACATTTTATAAGTAAATTGAGATAATTTAAAGTATACAGTGTTAGTTATTTGCAAATACTATGCCACTTTCCTTAAGAAATTTGAACATCTATAGACTTTAGTATCCTTGGGGGATCCTAAACCCAATCCTTTATAGATACTAAAGGAGATATATTAAGAGTCTAACTTAACTGTTAAAATTCTGTTTAATCCCTATTTTCCCTGTTAAGTTACTGTGAGTTACACTAGCAAAGAATGATCTGAAAATAAAATTAAGAAGATAATTCCATTTACAACAGCATCAAAAAGATTAAAGTATTAGGAATAAATTTAAGTAAAGAAACATAAGATTTATTCACTGAAAACTATAAAACATTGCTGAAAGAAATTAAAGATCTAAATGAATGGGAAAACATCCCATGTTCATGAATTGTCACTCTTCAAATTGATCTAGCCAGGATGTAATCCCAGCACTTGGGAGCTGGGGGAAGAGGACTGCTGTGAGTTCAAGGTCAGCCTGGGCTACACAGAGAGTTCAAGACCAGCCTGAACTACACATACATAGCAAGACCTTATCTCAAAAACAAACAAAAAAAACTGATCTATAGACTCAATGCAATAAGCATCAAAATTCCAATTTTTTGGCAGAAATTGACAAGCTAATCCTAAAATCTGATTCGAAATGCAAAAGACTCCAAATGTCAAAACAATACTGAAAAAGAAAGACAAAATTGGAAGACTCACACGTCCCCATTTTATAACTTACTAAATATATAGTAATCAAGAGTGTGGCCGAGACATATGTATCAATGGAACAGAACTGAAAGCCCTGATGAAAGAAAAAAAGGAAAGAGAGTTGGAGAGCTCAAAAATAAATCATCACACCAATGGTCAACTGGTTTTTTGGTTTTGTTTTTTGTGGTCCTGGGGACTGAACCCATGGGCTCACACATACTAGGAAAGTGCTCCACCACTGAGCTATATCCTCAGCTGCCCAAAGTATGATTTTTGACAAGGGTTTCAGGAGCATTCAATGAGTCTCCTGACATATGAAACAGGATATCCAGGCAGAGTTGGAAAAGATCTGCAATATTATCTGCTCCACTCCAAAAGAATGAAGTTAGACCCTGATCTCATATCACATGTGGAAATTAACTCAAAATAAAAATTTTAAATGGAAATACAGATGTAAGCCTATGGAATCTTGGATTAAGCAGACACAAAAATGACATCAAAATCACACAGAGCTGGGCATGGTGGAACATATCTATAGTTTTGATACTCTCAGAGGCTAAAGCCAGAGGATCACAAATTCAAGCCCAGCTTGGGAAACTCAGTGACTTAGTGAGAATCCGTCTCAAATTTTAAAATAAAAAAGAGTAGGGATATAGGTTGATGCAGAGGCTCCAGTAAATAAATAAGCAAACTTCGCCAAAATAAAACATCTTTGTGGATCAAAGATACTATCAAGAAATCAAAAGACAATCTACAGAATGGGGAAAAAATCTTCAAAATATATATCTAATAGAAGCTTAGTATCCACATTATTTAAAGAACATTTAAATTTAATAATAAAAAAACCCCTCGTTTTAAAATGGGCAAAGGATTTAAATAAACATTCCTCCAAAGATATAAAAAGAGTCCATATGAAAAGATGCTTGACATCACTAGTCACTAAAGAAATGCAAATCAAAACAACAATGAAGCTAGTATAGCGGTGCTTGCTTGTAATTCTAGCTACTTCAAAGGCTGAGGCAGGAGAATTCCAAGTTTGAGGCCAACAACTTATGCACTTTAGCAAGATCCTGTCTCAAAATAAAATAAGAAAAGGGCTGGGGATGCATCTGTAGTAAAGTATTTGCCTAGCATCTATTGTAAATAAAACTGGTTTAATCCCCAGTATCACAAAAAAAACCCAAACCAGTCCATATGCACTAGGATGGCTATATACATACATACTCATACACATACATAAAAAGTAAGTGTTGGCAACGATAAGCAGGAAATGAAATCCTCATACATTGTTTGTGGTATGTAAAATGACATAACCACTGTAGAAAATATTAACAGTTCTCTAAAAGTTAAACACAGGAGCCAGAGATTCCATTCCCAGGTATTTACCCAAGAGAAATGAAAATGCATGGTCAGACAAAAATTTGTACACAAATATTTACAACAACACTATTCATAATAGTCACAAAGTGGGCAAGAGATTTAGCTCAGTGGTTTCGCCACCTGCTGCGCAAGCGCAAGGACCTGAGTTCGATCCCTGGTACCAAAAACAAAACAAAACATAATAGTCACAAAGTGAAAACAACCTACATATCTACCAAATAATGAAAAGATAAACAAAATATAGTGTATGTATATAATAGAATATCACTGACTCCTAAAAAAGGGACAGAACAGTGTTACACAGTACAACATAGATAAACCCTGAAAACCTGCTAGGAAGTCAGACACAAAAGTCCATATGTTATATGAATCCATTTATATAAAATGTCCAAAATAGGCAAATCCATAAAGACACCAAATAGACCAGTGCCTGCCAGGGACTGAGGAAGAAGTAGTTAGGACTAACTTCTAATAGGTATAAGGTTTCTTTTCAGGGTGATAGAAATGTTCTGGAATTAACCTGGTAATTGCTGTAAAACATAGTGAATATGCCAAAATCCACTGAATTTTATATTTTATGATGGTAATTTTTGTATAGATAATATCTCAATTTTGAAAACTTAAAAAATATTATGTGTTACATTTAATTTCTATTTTTCATCAGCCACATCTTTCTACTATGTAAGCTCCTTGAGGGTGAGAATTTTTGTTTTGTTCAAATCTGTATCCTCAGTCTAGACTAAATAATATGTGGCACTCTGTAGGTGGTCAATAAGCATTAGCAGCATGTTATGTTACTTATACTTTATAACTTTTAACAAGTACAGAGATTGAATGTTAGCACAGCAGCATACATACAAGTCGTATTAAGAGCTCTACTTTGCCACCCAGGTTCATTTGCCTTGCTCCTCAACAGCCCCCTCTCTTCCCACAGGTTATCTGCTCCCCCTGTTCTGTATGCTGCTTACTCATCTCCAGTTCCAATTCTATGTGGTAACTTAAGCCTCCTTTTCTTCCAATGAAGCATTTGGGGCAGAGTCGGCCCCTCCTTCCCTTAGGCTAGTCCATTTCCTACTTAGCAGTTAGTGACTGTCATTATACATCTGTTTTTGTTTTTTGTTTTTTGTTTTTTTGTACCAGGGATCGAACTCGGGTCCTTGCACTTGCGCAGCAGGCAGCGAAACCACTGAGGTAAATCCCCGGCCCATTATTATACATCTGTTTAGGCCAATCTATCTCCCTCACTCCAGAGGTGCTAGGCTTAAGTACGCTCTACCATCTGGGTTTCACAGTGAGGGACCCACTCACACACTGCAGGAGGATTGCTTTCTCTGCTGATGTCTCTACAGAGTCCCCACCATGCACCCCGCTGTAGCAGGCCTTACAGAGACAAGTGCTGAAGACCTGGTCCTCACTGCTGAGAAGTTCATAGTTTATAAAGGAAAAAGGCACTTCAAACTGCCATAGAGTGTAGCACTGTGTCAGAAGCCTGTGCAAAGTGCTACAGAAACAAAAAGAGAAGGGGCTGGGGGTTTAGCTCAGTGGTTCTGCCGCCTGCCTCGCAAGTACAAGGTTCTGAGTTTGATCCCCAGTACCAAAAAAAAAGGGGGAAGAGCAATTACTTTTGTCTGGGGGGGCGGGCGGACTAGGAGTGTAAGTAGAAAAAAAGTGACTTGGGGAGCTGGCTTAAAGGATGAGGAGAAGTTCACCAGGTAGACAAAGGAAGATGGCACTCGCAGTCAAGGCAAGAGAGCTGATTTTTAAAGAGAAGACAATATATGGTCTACATGGCAAAAGAGAGAAGTCTGAAAGTGGTTATGGAGGGTTCATATGGCCAAAGAAGGCAGCAGAGAAAGGTTGTGTCTGTCTGCACAGAGCCTTAGGGTTGTGACTGTGAACATGGACTTTGCCAAACAGACAGCACAGGAGCTTGGAAGCATTGTTCAGCAAGGGAGTAACAAGAATAGATCTCATGTTTCAGAGAAATTACTCAAAAAAGGAACAGAGCATGCACTGGCAATGGAGTTAACGAACCAACTACTCAGGGCCAGAGTCTGTTGCAGTAGACAGAAGGGTCTGGCAAAAGAAAGGACAGGTGGGGCTGGGGACCAAGTGGAGGGAACAAGGAGAACCACACTGCAAGCTCCTCAAGTGATGCTCCCGTGGGCTTGGTGTCTTGTGCAGCGGAACTTCAGCCCTGATAGACTCATTACGCAGGAAGACCAGGAGCAGCACTGACCCTGGTTGCCTCGTGTGCTCTTCACCACGACTGGGTAGCCCAGGGGCTCAGCCTCGTCAATCATTTTTGAAAAGTCATCATGTCCACCTGCCAAGAAAAGCCGAGAGTCAATGAACGTAAAGACTGGTAACAGGCAGTGGTCCCCCGGAGGCCTGGTCCCTTCGGAAATCCCAGAAGGCCTCGAATCTCTCTGGTTAAAGCAACTCCAATCCATTCTACCCAACAGACAGGTGTTATACACCTGTAATGTAAAAAGTGGGAGCAGAGAGGCAAGGAAACCAACATCCATCAAGCACCTTCTACATGGTGAAGGGTGCATGTGCTATAGTTCAAGGAATCCTCACAGGATAGGTAGCTTTCCCTTCACAATGGCTGTGATAGGGAGAATTCTGGGCTGGCCCCCAAGATCCCATGCTCTGGTGAATATTCCTTGTAGAATCCCTCTTGGATATGGGAGGAACCAATGAACATAATGGGATATCATTCTACATTAATAATTGACTGACTTTAAGTTGTCAAATGGAAGATGATTCTTGGTGGGCCTGACCTAATCAGGTAAGCCCTTAAAAGAAGGTAAAGCACCAGAGACTCTTCTAATGTTCTTGTGGAAGCAAACTGTTGGGCTACAGAGAGGGCCATGTAGCAGAGAAGCGTGGGCAGCTTGCAGGAACTTAAATTGGCCCACAGTTGATAGCTAATGAAGAAGTGGAGACCTTGGACCTACAACTGCAAGGAACTGAAAGCCAATACTAAGTCATCTTGGGAAGAAAAAAAAAACCCAAACCTCATTGGAGACTACAGCCCCAGCCAACACTTTGATTTCAGCCTGGGGAGACTCTATGCTGTGGCTGGACTTCTGACCCACAGAAACTGAGAGATAATCCATCAGTGTTTGTTAGTGGCTAAGATTTTCATAGTTTATTATGCAGCAATAAAAAACCGATCCCCAAAGGAACCACATCTGGAGATTTGTCTCATCCAAGTTAAGGCATGCCTCTAAAGCCTCAACTAGTTTCACTGAATTATTTAAGCTTTAATTTTAAAAATATGAAATGTTTCTAAAGTCTCAAATAAGCTTCATTCGCTTCCTACTCATACTATATTGATCACTTAGGGTCAATATGATGAACATTAACAACTGTACTATAATGCCCTTAGGAACAGCATTTGTTCTCTGTTTAATGACACCCAACTAGCACTCCTTCTAGTTCTTGGAGCTGGTTCTTGGAGCCTTCCTGGCTGGAAGGCTCCATTATTTCTCACTGCTGTCAGCATAGGCCAGGATGTTCTCTGCCTGCTTCTTCTCCCAAAGGGCTTAGAAAGGAAAAGCAACCTGTGGAATAACTTTTCCTACATAGGGAAAACTGGGCTTCAAACGAGAGTCTAAAAGGCTTTCCCCTCTGTTAAGTGAAGTTTGATGTCTGTTGGGGTTGTGACACATATTGAGGTTGCTTAGAGGTCCTTTTGGTTTACTTCCTAGCTCTCAAAAATGTGCTGGAGAGATGTGTTTTATAGGTACATTAGTTGATATAATAGTTTTCTATTGCAGAAGTAAGACATTACTGTACTAACAACCTGGAAGTTTAAACTTAAGGATATTGTCTTACAGTTCTGCCATTAGTAGTCTGAAATGGGTCTCTCTCGGCTAAAATCAAAGTGCCAGCAGGTTGCATTCCTAAGACAGAATCTGTTTCCTTGCCTTTCCCAGCTTCTAGAAGCCACTCCCATTCCTGGGCTCCTGGACTTCTTCCATCTTCACAGCCAGCAGTGTTGGAGTCCTCATGTCTCATCACTCTGTCCTTCCATAGCATGCCTCCTCCTCTTTTTAAGGATGCTTACTACTTTGAACCTATCTGGGTAATTTAGGATGATCTTCCTATTTAAGGTTATCTGATTAGCAACCTTAACACCATCTGTAACCTTCATTCCCCTTTGCCACATAACCTAGTATACAGGTTCCAGGGCATCTTTAAGTCATGGACATCTTTGTGGATTCATTATCCTGCCTAGCACAGATGGATTCATAGCTTATCAACTTCTGCAAAGCAAAATACTTTGGAATAGTAATAAGATTTGCCTTGTTCAGAAAAATATACATGATTGCTTTTAAAATGTGGGGGTAGTGTAGGTAATCAGGGGCATCTTCATGAAGAGGATGTTTCGTAAGATGGAAACTCCCAACTTCCTAATATCCCACTCATAAATTTAATTTCTTCCTAGACTTTCTTTTGTCCTTCTCTATTGATTCAGTGAGAGTGAGCTACTCTTAATCAAAGGCCATCACTGCCCTTGTGCTTTGGACCACTTTCCCTGTCACCTCCTCACGGCTCTTGCACCATTAAAGTGTCCCCTTCTGCTATCTCTTCAACCTCAGTTCTAACTTCATCAACATTTTGAACATGCTCAGTTCTCTCTCATGTTAAATTAAGACTCTGTTCCTTGGTCCTGCATCATTCCTCTGCTACAACGTTGAACACTCACCAAGTTGCTTGAAGGAGTTACAGAAACTGACCTTTTCCATCTCCTCGCTTCCCCACAGCCCCTTACGCCTGACAATTTGGCTTCTCTCATCACAAGGCTGAAACTGCATTCATTAAACTCCCTGTTGCTAAACCCAACATACATCTCAGAGCTGACATGATTTGTCCTTTAGAAGACACATGACACTTAATTACACCATCCTTTCCAGAACAGTCTTCCCACTGGTTTCTAGGGCCTCTCTTCTTACCTCTCCACTTGCGCCTAATTTACTTATAGGCTCCTCTTCCTTTACCCATTCCCTCAAGGATTCCTTCTTTTTTATTTAATTTTTTATTGTGGTACAACAGTCACAGTAAAACATAAATTGCACCACTTCAATCCCTTTAAGCATATGGTTTTGCCCACTATTCTTTTCATTCTATATATTCTGAGTAACATCATCCATTCCTGTGACTTTGCTTAACATAATACAGGTTTCCAAATCCCCCTCTCTAGTCTGCACTTCTTTCAGATCCATTCACCATTACCTACTGAGCATTTTTACTTGCATATACTGTAGACATCTCGAACAGAACATGCCTCAAACTGAATGCATCCCCACCTCAAAACCACTCACCCCTTAATCACTAATCTGCTTCTCCTCTCCCATTCTTCTAGTCTCAGTGAATGTCTGTGTTCACCTCTGGTTGCTCAAACCAGAAACCAGTCACCCTGATTCCTCTCCATAGTCCCCATACCCAGTCAATCACTATGCTATTATTTCTATACCCTTCATAATTCTTGAATCAGCTCCCTTATCTTCATTCTCATTGTAAGTTTTAGACCATTGCTGCTCACTCAGACTATTTAAAAAGCCTACAACTATCTTGTCTCTACTTTGGCCCCTCCAATTCCTTCTCCATGGTGTGGCCAAAGTGATCTTCTGCAATGTGACTGTGATCAGGCCAATCTCCTGGCTAAAGCCCTCCAGTAATTTCCTGTATCTCCATCACATGCTATATATGGCACCTTCTTGTCTTCCCAACTTCAGGGTTTTTTTTTTTTTGAGACAGGGTCTCACTATGTAGTTCAGACTGGACTTGAACTAACTATGTAGTCCAGGCTGTCCTTGATCTCATGGCGATCCTCCTGCCTCAGCCTCCCAAGTACTGGGATTACAGGTATGTCCCACTACATCCAGTTTGTGTTCCCAATCTTACATCTCAAATCTGTTTCTCTCAACATTCTACAAACTACTCACAACAGCACCAATAGGTCATGTTTTGTCTTACCTTTTCTTTCATCTTTTTGCTAGGTTTTTCTAAATTCTGCTCTCTGGTTAAGTGACTCCCCCATACCCCTTATTTTAGCAGGGTAACTTCACTCACTTGGATGTTATCTCTTTCAGGAAGTGTCCCTCAATGCCTTCTAAATGGCACTGGGAGCTCTCCTATATATTCCTATACCACCTAGGGGTGCTAGCTCTTACCATAACACCGATTACACTTCACTGAGGCTTCCTGTTTCTTGTCTTCTGTCTCTGATGAACTGAGAATGCTGTGGGGTCCACCCCCTTTCTGTTATAGCCCAGTGCTTCCTCTGCTCACTGGCTGGCACAGAGTATGTACAGGTCCATATTTAGTGAATGACTTACATACAGAAAGAAGCATAGCCATTTCAGAGAGAATGGCCATGATACAGAATCAAGATGTTCTATCACCTAAGATGAAGACTCATTGAAAGGCAACAAGAAAGACTAGAAAGTTTCTTTCCAGAGAGAGAAAACACAGACATGCAAGTGGTTGGAAAAATAAGTTCCAATTGCCTTTTAAGGACTTACCATACGAGAAGGTGTCTGGCATGGGGACCCCATGTCCGGCCAGCTCTTGGAATGTCCAGAACTTGTTGATGCAGTTTAAAATGCTCTGTGAGCTGTTGACCAAGCGGCAGCCCAGCTTCTCCAGGTGCCTCAGGACAGTGATGTCGCTGTCCGACTGCACGGAGGGCGTGGACACCCGCACAACCACCACATCTGGGAAGGTGGTGAGGGCCTTCTGGTTCAGCTGGAGTCCTGCAACCCAAGGACCAGAGTAAGCCTGCCATTGTTTAGTCCCAAGGAACAGCCTCCAAGGCACTCCTCAAGCCTGAACCTGGTAGAAACAGAACCTCAAAAGCAGCCACCTGGATACTGCAGTGCATGTTACAAGAAAACACGATTGTCACCCCTGTTCTCCAAGCAAATGGGCAGAGCATGACTATGAGGAAACACAAAGGAGCAGACAGAAAGGGGGGAAAGCAATAGATCCAGATTAACCTAAACTAGAAAAATCCACAGGAGAAAAGTATTCCAACAGTTTCGTTCCACAAAGTACTATTATCACTCAGAAGTAGAGTGGCTTAAGAGGCTGAAGACTGAATAAAGAGGCAACAGTGTAGCCTACTTCCGGAATCTCTACCACTACTTTATGATTTAACCTTAAGAAAGTCTATCTAACTGGAATATTATTTAGCCATGTAGATGATTTTTATGAATATACTGTTTTATATCAAATGTAAAATAAGCAACAAGAGTGGATAACAGGATACAAAACTATAATCTCAACTATGTAAATAGATACAAGTTAGAAAATGCTAAAAAGAAATATATCAGCATTTTAACAGTAGGTAACAGGATTACAGGTAGTTTTGTTATATTTTATATAGTTGCCTGTATTTTTCAGAATTTCTTCAAGTGGATATTGCCTTTATAAAATAAGTCTACTAAAATCAATTTAATTAAATGTATAGCAAATATTGAACTGAATATTCAATATTAAAATTAATGGAAAGATAGAGCAATACATACAGTGAAAAGACCTGAAGCTATGTTACACTAGGTTAACTGGGGTGTTAGCTTGATGTGAAGACTCAGAAGCCCTCACAGCATAGCCTTGAAGTTACTGAAGAACTTCTGTGTAGAAGAATCTCCAAGAGATGGAGCTAGCCATAATAGCATTATTCTGTCTGTGCCTTTTCTGCTGAATCTAGCCTCTTGAACAGTGCCTCATGTATTGTAGGCACTCAATATTTGGGGAACTGAACAGAAACTACAGTGAGATAGTTTTGGGCTCAAAAAATGGATGGGCTCTTCCACTCCTTAGGTGGAATGGGCTGGGGCTCACTGATCACTCAAGGATGGTACAGAAGGAATGTAGAGACCAGAAGAGCCCACGCAACCTTGTTGGTGCTTCTCAGCCCTGAAATCGTATTCTTTGTCTTTTTATTTATTTATTTATTTTGGTACTGGGGATTGAACTCAGGACCCTGCACTTGTGAGGCAGGTGGCGCAACCACTGAGCTAAATCCCCTGGCTCTTGTCTGACTTTAAACAGTCACCTGGTCATTGATGGCACCCTAGCATCTGGGGGTGGAGTGGTGGAGGGACAGAGATGAGTCATGGAAATGGTGGGACAGTAAGAAGTGAGTTCAAGGAATTCATGGGCCTGTCTCAATGAACCTTAAAGGAGGTTCCAAAATGCTCTACAGAAAACCTTTAAAATACAACTTACAGATCCACCTTACAGGCTTTAATTTAAAGCACCTTCTATTTCATAAATGATACACTGTGCAACCATGTAGTTCCAAGGAAACAAAGGTGCTGATGAAGTTATAATTTCTCCATCTGGAATGAATAATATCAGTAACAATGCTCTAAAATTGAGAAAGGAGAAAAATAAACTCTAAGTACAAAAACAAAAAGCACCTACAAAATGACTATGTGGATCTAACTTTCACACTTCCTCCATTCTCAGGGTTTCAATGATTAAAGAAGGTGGGAGGAGGGTGCATAGGTGCAATTATTACAGTAAATTGTTTTCAGCACTCCTGCTGAGAAAGTGAACCCAAGGAAGAACATTATTCTCAGAGATAACATGTAAACAGCATCTAGGTTATCTTCACTTTGCCATCAGAAAACAGGATCATTTATATATGCTGTTACCATTCTTTGAAAAATTTCTTATCCACCTTTGGCCCTTGGGGAAAATAAAATGTTGGGGGTGGGGAATAAACGCTGTGTAGTATCCTCAGAGTTAGTAGAAGAAAGAAATAAAAGTACCTAGATTGATGAAAATGGTGAGTAAATACAGAACACCAGGACAGCATTGCACAGTGAGATAATATAGGCAAAAATGCTTTGAAAACCATAAAATGCTATACACACGCAAGGCACTGGCATTATTATTACACAGACATTCTACTAAGCAAGGTAGGACAATTTATGGAGATCTTCACTACCTAATGAGAAAAACAGCTTTGCAACAGAAAAGTGACCTAGAGAAGCGAGAAGCAGCAAAAACACCTGGCTTTCAAATCCCAACACAAGACCACAGACAAACAGACTTCTAAAGGGGAAGGAAAGGATTCAATCCATTTCTGGAAATACCAACCACAAGTGCACAGAGACAGCTCAGCCTCAACAAGCAGATTCACATACACCTAGGAAGTCTTACCAGGACTTCATCTCTCTTCTCCAAAGGTAAATCTTTGGGCCTGGCTCATTCCAACTGAAGCCCTTAATAAATGAAGAATGGAATGGGTTAAAGCAGAGCCAAAAAGGCTCAACCAAGCAGTTAGACTGGTTTGGGGTCTGTCTGTGATGCTATCCAGCTCTGTGCAGAGGACATGATGGGTTTATGTGCATCTGCAAAACTAATTATAGCCAGCCTACATATCCATGTGTTCAACATCTGTGGATCCAACAAACTGCAGACAGGAAGTACTCAAAAAATAAATGTGCATCTATACTGAACATGCACCGATTTTTTTTTACCTTTAGCCCATAAATACAGTATAACAACTGTTTATGGAGCTAAGGGTATAGTTCAGAGGTAGGACATTTGCCAAGTATGGGCAAAAGCCTGGGTTCAATCCCCAGCACTGAAAAAAAATGACAACAAATACATAGCATTTACATTGTATTAGGTATAAGTAATTTGGAGATAATTTAAAGTATACAAGTGGATGTGCATAGGTTATATGAAAATACTACATCATTTTATACAACGGATTGAGCACCCTTGGATTTTGGTATGGACCCTCTGCAGAACATCCTGGAACATTAAGGGCTGACTGTCCATCTACACAGTTTTGACATTTTTGCTCTGAGCAACTTCACTTGCCTCTGCTCATTCCCCTTGCCTTTGCCATCACAGTTCTGGAATGTAACTTCCGGCAGATAAGAGGTTGTCCCTCATTGTGGCTTCAGTGGGAGCTGCAGCTACAACACACACGATGAAGAGATCAAGAACAATTTGGATGGAAGACTGGCCAATGGTAAACCTGTCTATGAATTCGGAGCCATTTAAGTCACTTAAGCAATTTTGCTCCCCCCACCCACATTAACATCTCCTCTCAGGAAGGCATCTAATAAGCTTAATGCATGACAGAGCTTACTTCACGTGTCACCTTCCCCAGTGTTATGGCTCAGATCTGGTGCTATGCTCACTGGTGGACTGGTCTATTGATGAGTTCACAGCTGACTTGCTGTTGGAAGATGGGACCTGGTCAGAAGAGTCAGGTCACTGGGGGCATCACCTGGGAGGCTGCATCTCCCTCCCCAGTTCCTCCCTTCTCTCTCTGCTTCCTGGCTGCTGTGATGTGAGCAGCGTTCCTCCACCATCCCATTTCTGTGTTGGAGCTAACAGATCACGGGCTGTCACCATGAGCCAAAAATACACCTTCCTTCCTTTAAGTTGTGCATGCAGGGTATTTTGTCCCAGTGATGAAGAGGCTAACTAAGAGGCCCAGGATCTTTCACATTCCCACTGTGACCCACAGGCTTCATACCAAGGGAATGAAGAGCCGTAGAGGACATGAGGAGGGTGAGGCCCCCTGTGGCTGCAGTGAGAGGAAGGAAAGCCCTTAACAATGAGTGAATGGTTCTCGCCTTCAGGTAACAAGGGACTGCATGGGATTGGGCATCACTTTTCCTTAGAGAGGTGAGAAAAAGCTGAGCTGCTTCTGGGATTTTTGGGGCCCCCCAGACTCCTGAACTGGGATCAGGATTTACTGTGTTTAGCCCCAAACCATTTTTTAAAAAATCTAAAATGATCACTCTGTCCCAGATAAGTCAATAAGATACTAGCAGAAGAAAAGATCATCAGACTGAAAACTAATTAGTACAATGACCAACAACTAACACAGTCTAAACTATTTAAAACCAAAACAATATTTTCATCTTACTTTGGGGTGGAGGAACTGGGGATTGAAGCTAGAGCATTCACATTGAGCTATATACGTAGTACTTTTTTTTTTGAGACAGGATCTTGCTGAGTTGTCCAGGCTGGGCTCAAACTTGTGATCTTCCTGCCTTAGCTTCCTAGAATGCTGGGGTGACAGATGTGTGTCACCATGCCTGGGTTCCATCTTGCTTCTAAGAATAATCTACTTTCATAGGTGATTGTGTTCTGATTCTTTTGAACTTTCTGTATTTGGAAATATTTTAATATATTAAAAACAATATAGCAAAGCCAGGTGTGGTGGCACATTCCTGTAATCCTAGCACTTGGGAGGCTGAGGCAGGAGAATTGCCATGAGTTGGAGGCCAGCTGGGCTACATAGTGAGTTCAAGGCTGGCTTGACCTTAACAGCAAGACCCTGTATCAAAACAAATAAGCAAACATACCAAAAAAACCCAAAACAATATAGCATACTACAGTAACTTTTCCCAAAGAATTAAATGTTTTAAAAAATCTATATATCGGGATAAAATAAATTCTACAAAACTAGACTTTTGCTTTTGTATGTGCAATAGAAAAGAAATGCACTTTGTAATAAAGAAAAATAGCTTTAGTGTGAATTACACAAATCATTATTTGAAAGTAGGGTTCTAAAACAAAAAAAAAACATTCTCAATCATTCATAGCAATAGAGGAAAGCCGAAGCAGGGATAATAAAAGAAGCTATTTGGCTAGCATTTTTATTGAGCATCTTTAGGTATTTTGCTAAAAATTTCACATATATTATCTCATTTAAAGGCACTGTATAATCCGGATCACTGGAAGTGATTTGATTATAAATGGTATTTACATA